TAATACAATGTGTAGTTTACTGCAACACAAAAATAAAATCTGTTATGGTGATTGCAATGTGTAGTTTACTGCAACACAAAAATAAAATCTGTTATGGTGATTGTAGTGTGTAGTTTACTGCAACACAAAAATAAAATCTGTTACAGTGCAAGCAATGTGTAGTTTACTGCAACACAAAAATAAAATCTGTTATGGTGATTGTAGTGTGTAGTTTACTGCAACACAAAAATAAAGAAATAATCGCATAATGTGTTATTTGATTTTGAACAACACAATCAAATCTTATCTGCCTCTTCAATCATACACTGTCTCACTAGTAATGTCATATTTTGATATATTTATGATTATTGTACCTGATATTATGACAAGCAGACAGGTGGAGAATTTCTAATTTGTCATGATATTTTGTCAGTATCCCATTCTGAAGACAATCTTCTGTCATATTTTCACATTTACTCAGTGATAAGCTCTTCAAATTAGGACAACTACAAAACAGAAATGAATGAACATCATTATTTAAATATAATTAAATGTAAATAAGCATCAATGAAGCCTGTACACAGTTAGCCTGAAAATGTTGTGTGAGTTGCGCCCTCCACAATGTTCCAAACCCAACACATGCCTGACAGAGTGATGTGGTTTTTCACTTCCGTCAGTACCAATCAAAGTGCAGGAACGTCAGATAGTGACTGTCAGCCATTGAAGAGAAACCATTCACAGCATTTATTTGTTTGTTGGCATAATGTGTGATAAGGTGCTGGCAAATTTCCACCCAATGTTTATCATCTTATTGAAAACAGTCTGTGATTTTTGCCGACAATGCTAACAAGGCTTTGATTGACAGTGTTACCATGACCACCAAATGAATATTTATTGAAACTCATAGCAAGAAGGCATGAACTTTACAAATTTACAGTATTGATCTTGCCAACGAGACAACTATTCTGTCGGGCGTCAGTGATGCCGTTCGGCCGGCTAGCATGCCAGTCACGCCTACATGTCAGACTAGTACACAGTATAATAAATTATGTATCTTTGTTATGGTGATCCTCTAAAGTATATTATTTAAAGCACTTTCATTTTATTTTCCTTACCAAAGATTCACCATGGCACTTGGCAGTGTGTATAGTTCAGCAACATTGAGAATTTCCAAACTAGTACTTTGCAGGTGAAAATCCTTGAAGACGCATCCAGCAGTGTTTAATGTCTGAAGTTTGTTGGCGGTTATGTGAAATGAGTCTACGGCACCACACCACTGCAATAAAAGAAGTTAAGAATAGATTTATGAATAGATAAAAATCAGACTGCATATGATTAACATTGATAGAATAGAAACGTTTGTCTTTTCTGATAAGATTCTTGAAGTTTATAAACTGGTCAAATTATGCCCTCTTTGGTGAGAAAAAGAAATGATAGTTTGAAGGTAGTAGTTAATAATAATCGTATTCCATAACAATGCATGGATGATGAAATTATATAATGCAGATAACAGGATACTTTGTTATTATTATACTTTTATTATTGCATTTTTTATCATTGTTTTCATAATATTTTAAAATAATACATACCATTAGATTAATGTTACTAACTTGTGGACAACCAGAAACTGTAAAAGTTGATAACCGTGGGGAGCCAATAACTCTAACATCACACAATTCAGGCCAATCTGTAAGTTCAACTCTAGGAAAATGTCAAATATAAATTTTAGTTATTTCTACTGGATAATTAAATTAAGATTAGAATAAGTAATTCAATCACATAAAAAAGTGATTACATATCATAATCATGAGAGTAAACCCACAACTTACTGAATTTACAGTGAAGGGCATAAATCTGTACCTTAGCTTCTAAACATATTCATAAAAAAATTATAACTGATCATAAGCATTCATTGACATTCAAATATTTAACAGTGATTTAAATATTTAAGAGCTAAACATTGTCTATGCCCATAATGTACATGCATGCCTTCACATGACATAGCAGCTGCAACCAACTATTTATTAAAAATAAAGCACTTGTTGATTGGATAATTTTGTACTGACTCATTAATATTAATTAGAACTAAACATGATGTCATATTGCGATTCCTGGATTGGTCAATTTGAATTCCAACATCCATTTTGATTTATGAAAATGTGTATTTATACCGTAAAACATTTATAATAACCCCAGCTTTACTGAACTGACATTTACAACATACAATATACTTACATTTTGACAAAGTCACATTTAACTAGCTCAATCACTTGCAACTTAATGAGGTTATTTCTCATAATACTCAAATTTTTACCATTGAGATTCCCGAGTCGAGATAGTGTTAAATGTTGTACATTTGGAACACCTCCAATAGTGACCACTGTGTCGTCATTCCTGCTACTTCTACGTTTTCTTTCAACCTAACAATATGAATGAATGAATAACAATATGAATGAATGAATGGATGAATGAATAACAATATGAATGAATGGATGAATGAATAACAATATGAATGAATGAATGAATGAATGAATGAATGAATGAATGAATGAATGAATAACAACATGAATGAATGAATGAATGAATGAATGAATGAATGAATGAATGAATGAATGAATGAATATTGTGATTTTATAAATAAGCTTTTTATTGTATATAATGTAACCAATAGTTTTATAATTCGTATGTATTATATCGCCACATGTATGCATTGACTTGCATTGTGACATACACTCGTAATATTTTATAAGTGAACATTGATACATGTTTAATACTGTAATCGGAATTTGAGATTTTGTCATTGTAATTAGTCAATGTTATATTTTTCTACACTCGAGGAATAAAAATCAGAAATGAATGAATGAATGAATGAATGAATAACAATATGAATAATATGAATGAATGAATAACAATATGAATGAATGGATGAATGAATAACAATATGAATGAATGGATGAATGACTAACAATATGAATGAATGAATGAATGAATGAATGAATGAATGAATGAATGAATGAATGAATGAATGAATGAATGAATGAAATTTTTTTCACCAGAAAAAGATATGGCCATAACATAATAATACCAGTAAGAAAAATTTACAAGTTTTTCTTTGGTATGAAGCACAGTTTATTTAAACTAGTTGAGTCTGTATTATCATATGACTGTGATAATGCCCCAAAGCAGGCAACAAGTTAACCATGGAGATTATTATATTTATCGTTTTCAATGCACAAGTGCAAATAAAGTGATATATCAGTATTATTCAAACAGAACACAGTACCAGAGGCACTTACCCGTTTACCATATGACAGTGTCTCAAACAGTACACAGTACCAGAGGCACTTACCCGTTTACCATATGACAGTGTCTCAAACAGTTCACTTTCCATCATACATGCACAATTATCAATTTCAAGTTTCTCTACTGAAGAACAGTTCATCTCTAATGTCCACAAATTTACTGCATCCTGTTATTAATATAAAACAAAAATCAGCTCAAAGTCAAGAAAAAAATATTAGGCCAAAAAAATATACTTTGCTTCTCACCATGATGCACATCAGTTTGAAACCTATGGTAGAACAGGGGAATTTTTTGTTGATCTGATTTTGTGTCTAATGCATGCATTATTAAATAAATGTTAAAAATTGAAAATTAATTTTGTTGTTGCGATATAAAACAAGCTTAATAAAAAAAAAAAAAACCTCATCATATCATTTTTCATAGGCCTTTTGGCCTTATATACAATATCAACTGGGAAAATGGCAAAATAATACAATAAATAACACTTTAATAGTCTAGTTTCTGATAACATATTTGAAACAGAATGCAAACAAAATAAAGAAATCGTTTGTGGAAAGAGCTATGATTTACTTACTCTGATTGACAGTCTTTTTATATTGTTGTTATTATAAGATGAATGACTCCATGAATGTCCACCACACAGCAGTTCATGTAAACATGTCAACTACAAAGGAATATGAGTGTGACATATACAAACACATTGAGTGAGTATTTGCTCTACTATTACAGATGCATAGAGACATATAAGAGACATAAATGTTTGTTATGGTAGGATTTTTAAGTACAACAAACTCACACTAATTTATCCATCCTATTTAACAGGTCCTATTTGGCTTGGAATGAGTGGAATCCAAGTCAGCTTAAAATATTTTATTTTCGGAGATGCATTCAAAACAATAAAATGTCAAATATTTGTTGGTGTTTTAATCGGACATGCATATAATCAGGCAGCATGGTGTATAAAATGTCATTGCTACTGTCCACATGACAATTATAGAATCAATCTCTCAAAGAATATATTCAATATTTGCTTTGTACCGTATAGGAAATCAACTTAGTGTACAAAATAGTATGTGACAGCATTACTTTAAAATCTTATATTTTCTATGTATTTCTCAAGTCAATGAATGTGATAAAAAAAAACATCTTCCAGCATCTTAGTGCATATGAAGTCACAGCATTGTGGATAGAATAATTTATAGACTCAACCATGAAGAGTGATAACATTAAAAAATACATACTTCTTAGTTTAGTTATTTTTTATGAGAGCCCGAATCAAAATCAAACCTATGGGTAATAATACATGTACAGTTGCTTACCTTTGGTAGTAGCTTGTCACTGATGTCATCAGGATTGAACTGAATACAACCTATTATATTCAAAGACCGAATATTGCTCAAGGAAATTGACTCCAGTAGACACTGAAAAATGATGCTAAATTTGTAGAGAAAAAAAATTTGTAATAATGATTTTTCACATCTACCTATTTTTTTTTTTTATCACAACCAATAGCAATTAATACCTGACTTTCAACTTACCATGTGGAATGTGATAGGTCTAATTTTGCCAGATTGTTACACTCTAGTTTGATGTTTTGCAGTCCTGGTAAATAACTCAGTATCATCTCAGATAGTTTAGTTGATGTGATGTCCAACCATTCAAGTGCATAGCAACCAGAAACAGAAACATCAGCAACTATGGAAATCAGAGAATTTTTAAATGTACCAGTAGTAAAACAATTGGAAAAATGATTCTTCATTCGAACACAGAGACAGAAGTGTGTGGCCAAGTTTTGTGGAGCTATGTCTCAATTGGCTTTTAAGCAATTTATCATGGACATGCACTTAACAATTTGAATTATCACTTATGAATGCAATTTGCTTCATTCTTACCATTCTCACATTGTAACTTAAGACTTGCAAGGCGCATGCAATTATTCATTGAGATTTTTTCTAGTTTGACATTTTGATAAACTTCGACTTTGGTCAAATCTGCAATAAAAACAAAAGAATAAGTGGCAGTAAAACATATTATCAATAGTGTATTTTCTGTTATTGCAGACATTGCACAATGTGCAGATCATACAACTGCTGCCAAAATTGAATGATTTGATTTTGAACATGAATCTTTTTTTTTTATAGTTAAATGTTGAAATACAGTACCAATCTAGCACTTAGATACGCTTACTTCATCAAAACTGACTGTTATCAAATGTGTATGGCACATTATTAAGTGTCATAATACCATGGCATTGTACCGGTATTTAATAATAACAATTGTCATGTATAATTGTAACAGTTAATTACCAGTACAAGTGTTAAGAGCGAGTGACTTCAGTTGCTTGAAATCTGCTTTGACAACATCAGCACCCGCCTGCAAAGAAATAACAGTATAACTCTTCTAGTAAAGCCATACCCAGTATATTGAGGCAAAGTATAACAAATAAGAAAGTGAAGTGAAAATTTTGAAAAAAGAAATCTGAGTTAAGTATAACCAAAGTACTCACCTGATTAGGTCCTATTGACAGGAAATCAATATGCGATTTTGACAGATCTAAATCTTCAACAGTCGGGCAACTGGTAGCCATAGTAACAAAATTGTCATGGTCCATGAAACACTCAATTAGGCTGAAAACATAAAATAAAACTATTGGAAATTGGATAATTAGAACCAGACACATGGAGTCACTATTCTAAACTCAGAACCATATTCGTTCACACAGAAATGTACTTTGGAAGTATTTATCATTGACTGATCATTGTAAATCTACCCATTGTCATATAAACCAATAACTCAATGAGTTGTACACTGGATCATTAAAAAATCACATAGTTTGCCAATCGAGACACATCTGTCATTTATGCAAGTGCATCCCAAGTTGGGCTGTTAAAAATTAAAGATTGCATGCCCAGTGGTCTGGTAAAAAAAAATTCATGGTACACCTGCTTCAATTGAAATTTTATAAATGCAATTTTTATATCCCAATCTGAATTGAAATCAGACTTCTGAGATGACCAATAAAACAATGACATTCAGACCATTATGGTCAATGGTTACTGATAAATAATAAGTGACTTTGCTAACTTGATCTTTAAAATGATCTTTAATGTAGAGCTGGGGAAATTTGAAAGTTACCGGTACTTGGCTTGCTGTCTAGTATGCAATTTTCAATTAAAATTCAATTATTAAATGAACATTACCTAATAGTATAAGAAAATACTGTAATATATGTGTATAGTAATGTGAACCCTTATACAGATTGTTACTTTCAACATCATATTATAGTAATCATAAAAATTTTAACACAAACCTTATTGATTTCAAGTGCTGGAACTTTGCATTTAATGTGGTTTGATGCTCTAAATTCAGAAATGATACACCGGAACATTTCTTTATGTACAATTCCTGCAAGTCAACATGGGAAGAAACAAGATCCAAGATGGATGACTTCTGAATTTTATTGCTATAGCTGACTTTAAAACGCTGTATTCCTGTACATTTGGCAGTAATGGCTAAGACTGTAAAACAAAACAAATAGTGATTATGTAATTTTTTATAAACTGGATATATGGATTTTATCGACTGAGGTTGTATGGTGGACAAATCTGTGCCTGATTTCCCACATGGACAAACAAAAGTTATATCCAGTCCGAACATTTTTTTCATATTATTTTATAGGAAAAATTCAAAAAAAAATTATATTTTGAACAATAATTCATTCATTTCAATTATTCATTTCTTACTACAATTTCTGAAAACCATTGCAGATTTGTAATATGGGTTATAAATTCAGCCTAATATGATGAGTGGTGTTCATTTCACAGACGAGTATAAAATTGATTTCAGTTTAATTACTGGTAATAATTAAATAATTAATTACAACATAATTTAATAATTAATTACAACATAAAACAGATTTTCTACAGATAATCAAATTAGTCTTATAAAATGGAACTAAACCATTCGTATTTATCATGTTATCGCTATCGCCCACACAAGACCCCAGCTTGACTCCTATGCAATTTTACTGTGCACATCCAAAACGTAGATACACCAGTAGTTGTGATTGGTGGAATACTAATAAGCTGCTTGCCAATCAAACGTCAATCCTATTTTAGTCATATGTGACACACACACAGTCAGCTCCTTCCCAAGGCACGTCACTTAACTTCAATATACACAACATATTTTTCTGAGCTGTTATTTTTTTCTCTTTCAAATCAGACATAGATGTGATGATGTAGTCGATCCCTTTCCCATGCAGTGCCAAAAATGATGTGATGTTTCATCCAGATTGTATTTATGACACAAAATCATCAACAAAAGCACCGCTCTGAGAAACACTTGTTAATTTTACAAATTTTAATGCAAACATCAACATTATTTGTGAAAGATAACACAATATGAACTTGTTTTGTACAAGTTTGAACCCTCAAACAAAAACATCAACAACTTTGAATTTACCAGCTATATTCCAAATAGAGTATATTAATTTATTAAGTTATACGCCATGAGTGATGTCAGCTCACATATACCGTATTGGCTCTATTAGTAGAGCATGAGTTTGTACATAAATGACCGGTGTGTCTATAGTTAAACTTAGTCATACATGCAACTACCGGTTTACATGCACTTCTATTGGAGACACACTTCTAGAAAAACAAACTGGTAATGTGTAAAGCATACATGCAACTACCGGTTTACATGCACTTCTATTGGAGACACACTTCTAGAAAA